TATAGGATATTATAGTTTTACAAGTTTGCATATTTATTTAAGGAGTATTTACGTAATAAAAAATTATTAATTTAATAATGTATTAGCCAAATATTTATATTAGTAGTAAATTTATATCAATTGTCGATAATGTCAGCGTTCTTCAATTATCTCCAGGCCCTTTTTATACCGCCGGAAATTTGCCCAGGATTGACTTTAATAATATCTCGTCGGTGTCGCAGGTAGTAGCATCTTTTTGTGTTCTAATATTACCCAATTTATTCATGCTGTAAAAGCGTACGATAGAAATCATGTCTTGTTCTGATGACGTTTCTAAATTTTTCAAAAAATGAACCTACATAAGGAATTGTAAATCATGTGTTTAATTGATCATCATTATTATTATTATTATTGTTGTCATCATGTTATAATTATTGTCTTCATATAAGGATATTTTTTTTATTAGCCAAAATTTTTCTTTCAGCCATTGTCGAAAAAATAAGTTACGTCTATATTATGACCGCTGAAGAAGGTTGGAAGACCAAAATACGAATTATATAATCGTTGTTCTTCCGTCTCTTAATAAATTTTCTATTAACTTGTAAATATTGAGAGATGTTTTTGAATAATTAGCGCACTTGTACCAGCGCCTATTCTTTCAAACCCTTCTATTTCCTTTATTTTCTTATATACAACGTTCCTTATTTATTATACATAAAACAGTGTCGTTTTCGTTAGTCGAAACACTATGTATTATATATATATATAGATATATATTTTAAAATATATATACAATATGTCTACATTCATTGCATTGTCTGTCTGCATTGTAAGAGATACGCAAGATGGTACAATCATCTCTAACAGTTTTCACATTAATTAACGTATTGGGATCCAGTCCTCCAACACTTGGCTATACTTTATACGTTCTGGAAAAAGAAACAAGAACAACCATATAATATTTTAAGTCAGATTATGATAAGCAGATATTTGATGAACTCTACAGTTTTTCCTTTGAATACATTCACCATATTTTAGCTGACTTTTTGTTAAAGCCGAGTTAAGTAATTTTTGTATTAAGAAGAACAATGAAAACTGATTAATTTTTGGCTTAATTTATAGTATTAAATTAATAACAAATGTTTGAATTTTACATAAAAATATGATATACACTATACTCAAAAGATTGGCATTCTTAATTTCTTAGATAAAACTCTCTGCATTAATTTTTATAAATATAATATAATGTTGAAAATATCAATTTTTATTTTTTATATCATATTTTATTATCATATACAATTATTATTATATAACTCTGGACACAGATTAGGAAAGATCCACTCTCACAATACTGCTTACTTTTTATCCATCGTGAATTTTACTGCGTTTAATCATTTGATTCACATTTAATCAATTTTTAATCTTGATTGTCAATTCACACATCAGTCTAGAATATCGATAACACGATGATTTATGACAAATATCATTTCACAATAACAACTGCCAAGACTGAAAACATTTTTACTCAGTAATTAATACTAATACTACTATAAATCATGGATGTACCATATTGACTGTACGGAACAACCAAACTCATGGATATAAGACAGTAAATAATCTCTACACTGTTAATTTTAGAATTTACCGAATTATATAATTTTATGATTTTATATTTTATTGTGTTTTACCGGATTATTGATTTATATAATATCTATATTCGCGAACATTGATAATGGCCCGATCGGTGTCAAAACGTTTTGTTTATAATTTTATGTTTTTATAATGATTATTTTCACATTTTAAATATTAAACGTTTTAACAAAATTGGCTTGTAGCTATTCTATGGCTTATGTAGCTTTTACCATTGTCAATTTTTATTTTTAAACCTACGTTATTGGAATAAAACATGATTAAAACAATATGAAATTTTATACATTTACAAAGTTAGTAAATAAAGGTATTCGGCTAATATGCCAAATAGGGGAGGCAGCTCTGATGACCTTGACCTTGACATAGTTGTCAGTCATGATTCTGAGTGACCTCCATCAGGTTTCGCTCGTCATTCATTAAAAAGCTATTAACAAAAAAAGTTTGAAAAATGATGTCTCTCTTTTCTACTATATAAAACAGAAATTTTCTACCTTAAAGTATATTTTACAACTTTCTATGTGAAGCGACTCTCATCCCATCTCTCTCTTGTTTAGAGGCGCAAGGCCTTCCACGCGTAGCGATTCTGGGCCCCACCTCCCCCTTGCTGAGGAGCGCGACTTTCCATGCGAATCGACTCTCATCCCTACTGAGAGGCGCGCGACTTCCCACGCGAAGCAACTTGATAAGATGGGATGAAACTTGCTTCGCATGGAAAGTCGTGTGCCCCTTGGCAGAGGGAGAGTCGCTTCGCGTGAAAAGTTGTAAAATATATTTTAAAGCAGAAAATTTCTGTTTTATATAGTAGAAAAAAGGTGTCATTTTTCAAACTTTTTTGTTAATAATTTTTTAATGAATGACGACTAAAATCTAGTCATTCAGAGTCATAACCACATATGTCAAGGTCATTGGAGTTCTCCTCTATTCGGCATATTTATCAGATATTCCAAACTTTTAAGCGTGTAGTGTATTGATATGACTGTCGCCCCATAACAATTACTAATAGCAGTTAACAAAGCATAAACAAAAAATTCAGTGCCGATTGCTGGCGGCCATGACGATGAACATATTAATTATAAAATACCAGGGTTATGTTTATTCTACAATTGCGTAAGGTATAAGTTGTAGTCATAAAAATTGACAATCACAGTCGAATATTCTCAAATTCAAGTATGGATGATTGATCAATCCTTACAACTATAACTTACAACTACTACTTACAAATATGCTTACGCTTTTGTAGAGTGGGCTTTAGAAACGCTACTTTTAAAAATAACATATTACCATTAATATTTTTTGAAAAAAAGTAATTCGTTACTGTTACTAATTTAAAGAAAAGTAATTATTAACAACAATATTATTGGACTGTACATGTGAAAGCAACCAATAGAGAATAAAAGTCCATAATGATAAAGATCCAGTTTAGACCGTATGGGCTTTTATTTTCTATTATTTGTTTTCACATATACGATTCTGTCGCCTGAAAGAGACGTTTATTTCCACACATATACTGATTAATACGAAGAATATTATTATTACTAATAACGTTTTTCGTTGGCAGAGCTGATAGAGATTCAGGTTCGACTTTCGGTCGAGATATTTTTCGTAATAAATTTATTTACAGATTTCCAGCATATTAAGATCTCTTTGATAGAGGTCCATGAGCATCAAATTTAATTGTTGTATTACTATAATAGTAGTACTATACTAGTAGTTCTGCTATGTTTTAAAAGAAAAAATTTCGGCGTATAATTTAAATAATTACGAATATGTATGTACAATATGTACATATAGTATATACAAATTCACATAGAATTATTTAAAGTAATAAAGATCCAACTTTGATCGTTATGAGCCTTTATTTTCTATTGGTTAATGCATTATTGTTATTTAAAAAGTAACGTTTCTTTTCGTTACATATATTATTACTTAAAAAGTAATCAAAAATGTCAAGTTCTATTTTGCAAAGCAATAAAAACAATAAAGACAGGTCAATATTAGCGCCAAATTCAGATAAATACAAAACTAGTTTATTATAATCTTAAAAAGTATACTAGTTTTCACGAATATGAAATACCTTGTAAGGAATGTTTCGACTTACTTAATCCTCCTCAGCCAAACGCAAACAGTTAAATAATATAACATAATATGTTCTTATAATAAAGTAAAATATTGTATAACATAAAATGTTTTTTATAATAAAGAGTCAATATAATAGATAAAATTGAATTGAGTTACATTGAGTGACTACGAAGCCTTTATGATGATTCGGTATAAGAGATGATATTCTAATAACGATTTATACTCTTTTTGTTATATTTTTATAATACTATAGAAATATTACATTAATTACATAATTGTTTAATAACCATTACTAAATTACATCTCTATATGACAAGTTTTTCCTTAAATTAATCCTTCATAGTCATACCTCTTGAGAACTTTATGTTGATCACAGGGGGCAAAATGACTCCAAGTTTAATTGATTACCACATTTATAGCTTTTTTGTTCTTTAAAATCACAAAAATTATTAAACATACTTTAAATGAAACATGGAAATGCAGTGGCATTTTAAAGATTAATTTTAATATATTTAAAAAAATCGTAAGATAAAAGGGTAGCGATCACTGAAAGTTTGCGCGCTGAAAGGACGCCAAGAGAAATAATAACATTTTTCGAATATCCGAACTCAACGGTCTATGATATTGCCAAGAGATATGTGGCTTTAGAGGGATCCGAGGAAGGTTCCCCGGCAAAGGAGAAACATGCGAAAAGTAAAAATAACAAGAACTCCGGAACTCATCCAAAAAGCCCAAGAGCTTATTTTGGAAAACCTAGGGACTTCGATTAGGAAATTGGCGGTTGTTTTGACAGAGTTATTCGAACATCTATCGGTTTGTTAAAGAAGATTTGAGTATATTCAAGATATTACAATCACGCTAAAAAATTAATCGCGTACAATCTACGAATGTGTCTCTGCGCGCATGCTCTCTGAAGAGAGAAACTTTTGAGGCAAACGGACGCACGCACGCACGCACGCACGCACGCGTCGTATCTGTGTATACGAACACTAAATCCGCACTGAAGACAGTTGAAATATGATAATAGCATGTCTCACCGCTCGACGTGCGAGAAGTCTATCAAATTATTAAACTACTCTAATTCAGAAACGGCATCACTAGACTTCTCCATTTTTTTTTTGTAAGAGTCCTATAATATTTCTATATTATATAATATATTTA